TATATGTATGTATATATATATATGTATATATACATATACATATATATGTATATATGATAAGTGCTCTGCTGGAGGTTCCTTAGACTCCAGCTGTAAACACGACACACTTCAGTTGTTTGAGCAGTTCTGCTTGGGGTCACTGTACTTTTGGTCACGTCGTACCTCGGTGTTAAACTTTGTACCTGTGTACACTTGACACAGGAAGCAAAACTTGCTGCAGGCTCAGTTACAAAGAATCGCAGTTAACAAACCAGTAACATGGCCTTACGAAACACACAGTCGTGTTATTATCTGTAATACTCAGTGTATATAAAATATGGTAAAATCGTGTTTTTTAAGTTTGTTTTCTAGGTGGTAGCAGACGGAGCCCCTAATGACCCAATGCAGCTGTGTACTCGTGGTTTAAATGTTAAATATGTAAGAGAAGACATATATTTTACTGATAGTCACGAGTTTCCTCCCTCAACAGAAGCCGTCGTTAGAAAGCGTTTATGAAACGCCGGGACCAGTTTTCACCTGTCGATAGGTGAACAAGTGAGGGCAGCTGTGTCCGTAATAAAACCCTTCACACGTTCACCTTCCTGCTCCTGAGCCTGCATACATCAAGTCCGTCAGGAGGTCGGTGTGAGCATGGAGGGGGTGGTCCTGTTGCCGTGGGAACCCAGCTGAGTGTGTTTGAGTGGACATTGATCTTATGATGATGCTGTCAGCTGGTCAACCTGCAGGAAGATGATCCTGACTGCGGTTTTCAGTCATTCTGTCTTTTTATCTTTTAAAGTTTGTCGCCAGCCGTTTTCTGCTTCTGATGTTTTTGCTCAAAAGCAAATATTTGTGCTGAAACGTAGTAAGTTTACACTTCCTGTTACTGTTAATGGGACTAAAACAATGATGGTACAACAGATTACCGGTAGTTGTCGTAGGGACCAAGTATTAAAGGGATCTCCGACCAATGGAAACCATAGACCTTCTTTGATAAACAATTACTTCAATAAGTTATGTAGGCTGTTTCATTCTTTTTAAAGGTTTCTGACACACAGTCACCATTTTATTAACGTTTCTATGCATCTGTATGAATGATGAAGACAGGTTCCTTCAGTGCAAGCTCCATTCAGCTTGAATGGTAATTTTAGACATTATCTGACGTATAAGATAAGATGGAACTTTACTGATCCTGCAGGAAATTGTTGTGCCAAAGTTTCAGTACAAAGGAACATGCACAAGAATCACACAAGATGTAAAAAATAGCAGAGAATATAAAAATACCAACAATTAAGTTCTCAACAGGTGCAGACAGAAACATTAAAGAGTTTATTGTAATACAGGATTAATTTTATTGTCCTATGTGCAGAAAGGGGGAGGAGTTGAAAAGCTTGACAGCCACAGGGAGGAAGGACTTCCTGTGTTGTTCTGCGCAGCACCTCAGTGTCTCAGTCTACAACTGAAGGTGCTGCAGTAAGAGTCCAGGGTGTCATGCAGGGGGTGTGACGTGTTGTTCAGGATCTGGAGCAGTTTCCTCAGCATCCTCTGCTCAGACACCTCTGTCAGAGACTGCAGGTCCACTCCCAGAACTGAGCCAGCTCTCCTGATGAGTTTATTGAGTCTGTTGGCATCAGCTTTCTTCACCCTGCTGCCCCAGCACACCACAGTGTAGACAAAGATGCTGGAGACCACCGAGTGGTAAAACATCTGCAGCATGGTCCTGCAGATGTTAAAGGACCTGAGTCTCCTCAGAAGAAAAAGGCGACTCTGTCCTTTCTTGTAGAGGGCATTGGTGTTAGCTGTCCAGTCCAGTTTTTTGTCTAGGTGGACCCCCAGGTACTTGTAGCAGTCCACAGTGTCCACCTTAGTACCCTTGATGTTGATAGGGTTGGGGGGGGCTGGTCTTCTTCCTGTAGTCCACCTGCAGCTCTTTAGTTTTTCCTGCGTTGATTTGCAGATGGTTCTGTCCACCACATCTCTGTATTCAGCTTCCTGGTCACCAGTGATGCAGCCCACAATGGCAGAGTCATCCAGAACTTGTGCAGATGGCAGGACTGTGAGTTGTACCAGTTGTTTAGTCCTTTAATGTGATCCAGAGCACGTGAACAAAGAGGAGAATAGAGAATGATTCAGCTTTCACGTTAGCTCCAGAGCTAATATATGACACTGGCTCTGGAGATCTCTAGTGTCAGTCACACTTGAAGAATTTATTCAAAAGACCTTATAGTTATCACACAACAGCTGGTCTGTGTTACTGTGCCCCCCCCCCCCCCCACACACACACACACATACATACATACACACACACACATACACACACACATGCACCTCTGACATCAGGAACACACATTTAGAAATACATGTAAACAGCTGGTCTTTCTGTTAGCATCATATGAACAGCTCGTTGGATTTGTTTGAAACTCACAAAGTGTTCATCACATGCATCTCTAGAAATGATTAACGTTGGGAGCCATTTTGATTCAAGATGGCTGCCACAGCTACCTCAGCAAACACAAAACTGACTATAACTCGGTATTTCTTTGACATATTTAGCTGAAATTTTGATTGGTCGTAGCTCAGAGTGAGTTGTTTTACATTCCTTGATTTTATTTACCCTTCATTTATACAGGTAGTCTCACTGAGTCACGAGAACTCATTTTCAAGAGAGGCCTGTTTAGGGAGCAGATGGTGGGGGTTAAGGGCCTTACTGCAGCTGATATTTCTGATGATGTGATGTCTGAAGACCAGAACAGAGAACATTCAGAGTTTTACAACAGTCCAGTTTTATTGTGGTCTGGATCTTTACAGGCACGTGTAGCTCCATAAACCGCTCTTCAATTAGACTTTTGTCATTTCTAAAACTGAGATAAAAAACAACAAAAACTTGCAATTATATGTATTAAAATATAAGCTGCATAAAACCTGCATCTTATTTTTGTAGACACTGGTTTTAGACCAGACGTCCTCAGTAAATAAGACTAAATCTAACATTTCATTTTAAAATTTTAAATAAAATATTGATTCATTCAACCTTTATTTAAACAGTTTAGTCGAAAATAAAACTGTCTGGTCAAGGTAGATTCTTCAACAAAGAAGAATCCATCCAGACGACCTGACTGCACCTCGTTAGACGTGAAAATAATAGTGTGCATGATTTCGAGCGCGGCTGTGAGGTCTCGCTCAGTGCGTTGATGCTCAGTGTGGTCTGTGAATGACTCTCATCTACTACCACCTCAAACTTTAGCTCTGTATCTGGAAAAATGACTGAGTTACAGCCAAATTGGTTTTTGCTCAAGTCTGTTGACAAATGTTGGCAAAAACATTAATAAAACTGCTGCCATTAGGGCGGAGACTGCGTAGCCTCAGTTCTAGGACCAGCAGACTGTGGAACAGCTCCGTCCATCAGGCCGTGAGGATGCTGAACTCTCTGCCTGCCCCCCCTCAGCCCCCTCTCCCACTTCTGCCACCCTGCACACACTAACTCAGCTTCCTGACACCCCCCCCCTCACCCCCCCCCCCTTCAAAACTGCTCTGGGACATTTATTTAGTTTTATGAATAGTTCATGAATCGGTCACTTTAACAGCCTACAAGCTCACTCTACTGTTTATTGCATTATATTTTGCACTACTGTTATGATCAACTCGTCCTGTTTATTCTTTATTCTGGTAATTCTGGTATTGTCATTTCCACTTAATCACCTCATCAGTACATAACTGTGACTATATAGAACCGGTATGCACACCTTCACTTTACTAAGTTTCTCAGGTTTATACTTTATATTGCACTATTGTTTACTCTGGCCTTGCACATCCATTATCTACCTCTCATCATGTTATTGTCTTCAGTCAGCGTCCCTTTGTCTCCTGTTAGTCACTATTGAGCACGTTGCATCAGAGGTCCTGCTGCTGTTCACTTTTATATTTTTTTTTTTATACTTTTTTATATAACTAGTTGTGTTAGTTTATTTTTGCTAATGTTGTTGTTTGCTGCAATTTGAGTAGGAGTGTAACGCAATTTCAATTTCTATGTATGTCCTGTACATATGCAGAATTGACAATAAAAATCAATCAATCAAATCAATCAATCAATCAATCAATTAACAGTCACTGTAGCTGTGGCGCCCATTTTGACCGAAAGTTAATCAGTGGATTTTTTCCACTATGGAGTGTGCTGTTTGTGGGAATCAGTTTTGTTGGGTGGCTCCTTGGACTGAGGAAGTCCTTTGGATGAAGGACGAAACGTCTCAGCAAAAAAAAGAAAGAAAGAAAAGAAACTGTCCAGATGACATGACTGAACATTGTTGGATTTTATACCTGGATTATTATCTGTGAGAGTTTCATTAATACCTGTTGTGCAAATCGTAAGTTCTATTTCGTATAGGCTTCGCCCTTTAAGGCTGTCGCTGATGGGTTTATCCCGATATGCGAAGCATTGCACTGAAAAATTTAGTCCACGCCCACCTGCTAAGTGGGCCCCACCCAGTCCGTATAAATTACGTTAAGAGCGGGAAATCGGCTCCCATTTTTCTTCAGCGAGCTAATAGCACTGTCAGAAGAACGAAGAAGGAAAGTTGTGTAGATGACCAACCTTTGTTAAGAATGCTTGGCCCGTCACGTCGACCTCCGGTCATCCCAGTGAGCTCTCCTCCCCAAGGAGAAGCTGACGAGCAGTCTTGTTTCAAGGTAAGCGCCGAGGATTATTTCTCAGTGACAGGTCGCTACACGCTGGACAACGCCATCTTGTAATTTCCCTCTTATCGCCGACACTTGGAGCGAATCGGATGCTTCCTCCAGGACAGGCCACGTCAGCTGCAGCCCCCTGCTGCTCATTCCCTCCTGGAGAGCGTAGTGTTGGTGGAAGGGGGCTGAGCGAATGCTCACCTCATCCCACCTCGTTTCGCATCGGCGATCACACTGCTCCCGGCCGACGGCGCCCTCTGGGGTTGCCCGGCGTAACCCAGGAGCCGCTGGCATGAAGGGACCCTTTTTTACATCCCGCGCCTTTCCCGCCAGTTTGGATGATCCGGCGGGACGGTTTTTTTCTAGGTTCCATTCCGGCTCACCGTCCTGATCCATCTGGCCTCGGTTTCCCAACAGGATGTCCTACGGGTGAGGAAACAGCCAGCTTTCCTGGTAAATTGGGGGGGCAGTCTCCACAGACCGCGCCCATCTCCAGAGCAGGGGTTCACTGAGCGGAAATTCCCTCAGTGCCCCCTGGAGCCGAACCTGACGGAGGCTTCATCGGAGCAAGATGTCCAGGTGGACCAGCGTCCCGTGCCTCTGGTTAGCGTAACCCAGATGGTGACATTGCTCTCCAACTGAGCTCACCAGCATGCGTTCCAGACGGCCGCAGTGAACAACACGTTACACTGTTGGCGTACACGTTCAGAGGCGGGAAGAGACGTGGGCCCTCTGACCTTCGGCTCGCTCCGCTGTCGTAGCAGCTGTTTGCTAACGGCGCCGTCGGCCCCTGCTCCGTCTGCAAGGCAGCTGACGTCATCCCCAACAGGTGCGCCTCTTTTGCTCTCTGCCAGCCCGCATCGCAGCTGGAGAACGAGGTCCCAGAGGTTCTCCTGGCTTGTCACTCCACCTTCCTCTCAGGAGAGCTGCAGAAGTTTTTTGTTGGAGGGCCTTTCATCAGCGAGAGATCATTTCAAGATGCTCCACGGCTGCACAACGCCTCCCCAGCTCTGCTACGCCAGTCCCTCTCGTCAGACGTCCCCGGCATCCAGAAGTTCAACTTTTCCCGGACTCCGCCAACAGGGGGCCCTCTAGGACAACAAACCACGGAGCTCAGGGGAAGATGACCAGGTGTCGGTTTGCTGGATGTGTGTTGATGACACGATGTGGAATAAACATCATTTTATGATGAAGTGTCCTTTAGCCAGGCTGTCAGCACGGATGATCTGACAGCGGCCCCATCACACACACTCATCACGAATTAGCCTTTTAAGGTTGTTTCATTCACTGCCGGCGGTGCCAACACGCGCTCCCGCGGCACGAGCAGCCTTCACCTATAAGGCGCTGCGTTATGAAAGCGCGCAAGCAGCTCAATCAGTTTGCGACTATTGTTACCAATCAGTTCATTGATTAATAATCAGCTCTCCTGTTATTATTAATCTGTTCATACTGTTCAGTCGTAAACCGGTTGGTTCATGGCTTTTTTCAGCATTTTTTTTCCCTCCCCGTTGAAGTTTTCCGGGGCGTTCATGCATTCAGAACGCATGGTTACACAACGTGCGTCTGTGCATGGCACACATAATTACGCAATGCGTAATTACGCACATGGGGAGCTGAGTGACGAGACGTTTTTTGGGCAAGCTTCTGCTTCATACGGTGTTCGAATGGACCCAGTGAGGCGAGGACCACATCTGCTTCGCCCTTAACCCACTAAGCAACAGCCTTAAAGGGCGAAGCCTATACGAAATAGAACGTTGGTTACGTACTGTAACCCCAGATTCTATGAGTATAGGTGTAGCCCTTTAAGCGTCGGGCCTCACTGGCTCCTAAATGGCTGTAGAAAAGTTATTTGGGAGCCGATTACCCGCTCTTAACGTAATTTATACAGCCCACACAGCAGGTGGGCGTGGACTAAATTTTTCAGTGCAATGCTTCGCATATCGGGATAAACCCATCAGCGACAGCCTTAAAGGGCTACGCCTATACTCAGAATCTGGGGTTACAGTACGTAACCAACTTTTTTTGCTAACAGACGGACAAATAAAGACATCGTCCTGCCCTTTGCTTCTCAGCAGCGAGTGACAAATGTGACTGTATAAGACCTGTTGATGTTCGAGCCACAGGTTCTGTTCAGATGCAATAAAACGAAAGCTAAAAGGCCTTTCACGTCTGAGCGCTCCACTCGTGGCGTTTGCTCCAGTGATTATGTTCAGGGTTAATGACAGAGCTTCATCAAGAGCTGCAGCTGAAGTGTGTGTTCATTCATGTGTGTGTCCAATCAGAAGGCCTGATGAGTCATGGTAGCTCCATTACGTCCAGGAAAGAGCTTCCTTTTGTCTCAGCCTGAAGAGAAAAGAGCCGGCAGGCTGCAGTGATGCAGCTGTCAATAGTGATTATACATGACAGGATGCAATTTCACTGTGCACGCCTGAGTGTCCGTGTGTGTGGTTAGTCATCCTCCTGTAGGTGGTCGCAGCCTGCGTCCACGCTCAACAAACAATTTCTGATTCGTCTCCGTCGGTAATTGATGCGTACGTTTGTTTTTTGTTTTTCCTTCTGTTTCAGTCGTTGACGGAAAAAGCGAAAGGACAAAGTGGAGACGGTGCAGAGGTGAAGAAGAGAAAAAGAGCAGAGGGAGGAGGAGGAGAGGATGAAGCTGCAGAAGCTGATGAAAATGATGCCAAGAAGAAAAAAACCCTGGATCCTTCGTCAAAGCTGTCGGCGTTCGCTTTTAACAAAAACTGAATGTCCTGATGTTCGTTTTGTCACAAACGACACGGATACATCCGTCACATAAAGAAGACGTTCTGAATTTACTTTTCTAGAAACTTTTATTGTATTTGACCAATTAATAAATGTATTTGTTCATATTTAATGTGTGATTTTTATTTAAAAAAAATTACGTAAAAAGGGAAAAAAGGAGAGAAGCTCATGTTGAGTTTCTTAAATCCTGTTGATTAAAACTATATATAAACATCCATCCCATCATCTTTACCAGCTTCTTTCTTTTTGGGTCACGGGGGGTCACTGGTGCCCATGTCCAGCAGTCACTGTGCAAGAGGCGGGAGACACCCTGGACATATCTCCAGTCCATCACAGGGACACATAGAGACAAACAACCATTCACTCTCTCACTCACACCTAGAGACAATTTAGAGTTACAAATCAGACTAACATGCATGTTTTTGGTCTGTGGGAGGAAACCGGAGTACCTGGAGAAAACCCACGCATGCACGAAGAGAACATGCAAACTCCACCCAGAAAGGCGCCCAGTTTGAACCAGTGACCTTGTTGAGAGGCAGCAATTCTACCAACTGAGCCACCTTGCCACTCCATATATTAAGCAATATAACGAAAATTAATTTAAAACGAGCTGTACAACAATGTCCGCCATCGCAGAGGGATTTGAATAGTGAATATTTGTAGTTTTTGAATGGAGTGATTTTTCTGGACTGGAACTGAACACAAAATAAAAGTAAACCTTTCTGATGGTGCAAGATATTCAAGTGGGCAGGAGTTACTCTAGAAGAACAGAGGTAGATGGGTTGTTTTATTTGGTGGGGGGGTTGGGGTTCTTGAGGTGCAGAGTGGTGGATCCTGGTGAGTGGAGGGAGCAACTTTATCCACCATAGGTGCAATGGTGGAGCCAGGGTGTGGCCAATGGGGGCCTTGGCCATCGAAAATTAATCTTCAGCCACTCCAGTCATTTGAGGAAACTACAGTAGTCCTTCACTTATTGGGGGAGTTAATGTTCCAGACACCTCCGCAATAACTGAAAATCCACAAAGTAGGAACGTTATATTTATTTTATTATTTATATACAAACCGGATTCCAAAAAAGTTGGGACACTAAACAAATTGTGAATAAAAACTGAATGCAATGATGTGGAGGTGCCAACATCTAATATTTTATTCAGAATAGAAACAAATCACAGATCAAACGTTTAAACTGAAAGAATGTATCATTTTAAGGGAAAAATCTTGTTTCCAAATTTTGTGGTGTCAACAAATCCCAAAAAAGTTGGGACAAGTCCACTTTAACCACTGTGTGGCATCCCCCCTTCTTCTTACAACACTCAACAGACGTCTGGGGACAGAGGAGACCAGTTTCTCAAGTTTAGAAATAGGAATGCTCTCCCATTCATGTCTAATACAGGCCTCTAACTGTTCAATCGTCTTGGGCCTTCATTGTCGCACCTTCCTCTTTATGATGCGCCAAATGTTCTCTATAGGTGAAAGATCTGGACTGCAGGCTGGCAATTTCAGTACCCGGATCCTTCTCCTACATAGCCATGACGTTGTGATTGCTGCAGAATGTGGTCTGGCATTATCGTGTTGAAAAATGCAGGGTCTTCCCTGAAAGAGATGTCGTCTAGATGGGAGCATATGTTGTTCTAGAACCTGAACATAGTTCTCTGCATTAATGGTGCCTTTCTAGACATGCAAGCTGCCCATGCCACAAGCGCTCATGCAACCCCATATCATCAGTGATGCAGGCTTCTGAACGGAGCGTTGATAACAACTTGGGCTATCCTTGTCCTCTCTGGTCCGGATGACATGGTGTCCCAGTGTTCCATAAAGAACTTCAAATTGTGACTCATCTGACCTCCAAACAGTCTTCCATTTTGCCACACTCCATTTTAAATGACCCCTGGCCCAGTGCAAATGTCTGAGCTTGTGGAGCTTGCTTAGAAATGGCTTCCTTTTTGCACTGTAGAGTTTCAGCTGGCAACGGCGGATGGCACGGTGGATTGTGTTCACTGACAATGCTTTCTGGAAGTATTCCTGAGCCCATTCTGTTATTTCCTTGAAAGTGGCATTCCTGTTTGAGGTGTAGTGAAGTTTAAGGGGCCGGAGATCACGAGCATCCAGTAGAGTTTTACGGCCTTGACCCTTACACACAGCGATTGTTCCAGATTCTCTGAATCTTTTGATGATGTTATGCACGGTTGATGATGATAACTTGAAAGTCTTTGCTATTTTACACTGGGTAACACCATTCTGGTATTGTTGCACTATCTTTCTGCGCAACAATGGTGGAATTGGTGATCCTCTTACCATCTTGGCTTCTGAGAGACACACGCTCTGAAAGCTCTTTTTATACCCAATCATGTCAATTCCTCTTCCTCCCAGGCTCTGATCAAGGTGGCAGCTTCTGTTTCTCCTCCCCCCGTTTTCCTTCTTCCTGCTCTGCTCTCTGTGTGTCTGAAGCTCATGGGTCTCATCTCCCGAACATAAATTAAGAAGATTATGGATTTGGTATTGTGGGCGTTCAAGTCTTTTGATAAGATTTTTTCATCAAAACGACAAGGTCCTGGGGAACCGGCGTGTCCAGCTGAGACTCACGCTGTGGGGTACGTCATGGATTCGTGGGGTGTGTGGCAATTGATGTGCATTACAGTCCTGTCTCAGGAGGATGTTGAAGACGTTTACATATTTGGATTTATGATAGCAGGGTCTCTGCTTTTTGGCATCGGCGGGGCTCTGTTTTATCGACTTTTGAAGAAGACAGCGGGAGCAGTTTTGACCATGGAAAAGCTTCTGAGTCAGTGTGAAGGTCTGGTCCTCGCTTTGGGAACTTTAAATCGTCTGGTCAACGAGCTTAACCTAAAGGTGGAGGCGATTGAGAATCGCAGACCACCTGCGGCTGGACTCGTCAGCGTGGTGGGTTCGACCTTGAAGGAAACTCATAGCATGGATCAGTGGAATGTAATCCCACAATTAGGCATTTTCGGAACCAGAACGCCCAGATGGACTCAAGGCTGAAGAAAAAAATCTGTCTGCCTGAAGAAAAAACTAAAATCAAGCTTTTCTGAATCAGACTCCCAACGGCCTTGGAGACAGGCTGACTATCAAATTTCTCCTGGGACATGAGTACCCAAGGACAAAAGCTTCATTGTACCTAATTAGTGTTAATTGGTCTTTCAGCTGTTAGTTACATGCTCAATTTCCTTTTTCCTGCCACTTATTGGTACTTGTCTCAACTTTTTTGGGATTTGTTGACACTGAAATTTTGAATCAACATATTTTTCCTCTAAAATGTTACATTTACTCAGATTAAACTTTTGATCTGTCATCTATGTTATATTACGAATAAAATATTGACATTTGCCATCTCCACATCATTGCATTCAGTTTTTATTCACAATTTGTTAAGTGTCCCAACTTTTTTGGAATCCGGTTTGTATTTTAAGGCTTTATAAACCCTTCCCGCACTCTTGCAATGTTCTAAACTCTTAACCTACGTCATTTTAACAACCTACATATATGTACTGTACAGTACTGTAACATTTTATGAGTACTCACCAGCTCTGCAGACCAGCAGCTCCGTTTGGGTCGGGTTTGGTTCTGGTTTGGCAGACCTACCCTGCAGCATGGCGAAGCCCACCACCCTGTCCAGGTTGATGTGCATGTGCTGCCGCTCCAGGAAGGAAACTTTGCACGCTACGCTGCCCAGGATGTAGTCCTCCACCTCAGCCCGGGTCCAGACCAGCACTGCGGCAATCAGAGCCAGGGCGAACCCTGCCACTGTCTGCATGTTCCCTGCAGCCCCAGGATCATCTTGAAGGATGAGTTCAGCTTCAGGATTATTTTCATGGATACATCGTTACTTCTGACTTTGTGTTGAATATTTTTACCACATCAGTTTCTCCTCTAGTGTTCGCTCCCTCCATTGCTGTTCTTTGAATTTGGGCAGAAAACAGCGATTGGAAGCACTGTTGGCTTCTGGGAAGGAAGTGTAGTTCTTTTGACATGCATTACAGTGCAGGCTTATTGAAAGAAAACTACCACCTGTCCGAAGTTTTCTTTTGTCGTTTCAAAGAAATATCGCTTAGATATAGCCTCAAACCAAAATGAAAGTCAGTACCTGATTTCTTTTTTAGGTCATGCTCACACCTTGCATGGACAGACAGTTTTTCCAATTCCCTCTTTCGCTCGGTGATGTGAACTACGAAGATCTGGTGTTCTTTGAAGGAATCATCCACAGCTTTTTATATCAATAGTCTTATTCTCAGATCGTCTCATGTTGAGAAACGATGAAGCTGTGGTCGTTTTGGTCAAATCAGAACATTTGTGATTTCTGAGTGTGTGTTGTGAATGATGCTCGGCTACTACCACAAAGTTTGAGCTGAACGGCTGTAAAAGAAAATATTCTGTGTGGCTCATATGAAAATCATTCTTGTAAAAAATCTACAAAACATGACGGCTAAATGTTGTGCCTTTTAGTCTTGTGGTTTTGAGTTTGTGTGCACTCGTTTTCTGTACTTGTGCAGATTGTGTAATTTTCAATTTTATGGATAGAAAAGCACTAATTTGCTACAAACAAAACAAACAAAAAAAGCAAAATATATGAAAACAAATAACCTACAATCACACATGAGCTGGAGTGTATGCAAAGACCCATAGCTTCAAGTTCTTTACAGTATTTAAGAATGACCAGAATGTAATTATTCATAGTATAATCATGTATCATGTCATCACAGTGTCAGCACTGTATGTTTCCATACAATGGTGAAATTGGTCTCTACGTTTGGCCCATCCACCGCCGGGTGGTGCGGTGGCCGGGGATCGGGCCTGGGGCTTTCGGTCCCGGGCCGGCTGCCCTGCCTCTACACCATCTCGGCCCCCTATAGTAAAGGGATAGTTCAGATCTTTAAACTGTGTTCAGTTGAAAAAAAAAAAAGTAAATTAAACATCATCAAGGGCATGAAATTTTCTCAACAGACTCTGCAGGAGCTGATCATTGATGTAATAATTACGGTAATTTATGGACTATAAAGCACACCTGAAT